TCAGCAGTCCCGTTGGCCTGTGGACGATATGCCATCGTCGCCCGCTGGTGCTGTCCCAAAATCTTGTTAAACGCCCGGAAGAAATCAGACATGAAGCCGGGTTCTCGATCATGCCGGATCATCTCACTGGCACCAAATCGCCGAAATACACACTCTTCATACGATTCCGCAACCGTCTGGGCCGATCGAGACGAGCTGGCCTTCGCGATCACATATCCCGTGAACAGATCGACCCAGATCAGTAATTCTGTGTTCCCCTTGTGGGATCTGGGCAGCGACGGTATGTGATCCATCGCAATAATCTGGAACGGGTACGTCGCCTGCAAGTTTCCGGGCGATTCACTGGTTTTCCTTTCCCGGTCTCGCAATCTACGCATTCTCCCACATACCTCTGGACACTCCGGTATAATCCCCTCCAATGGAAGTGATCCCTGATCCGCTGGTAGGTTCGCCCCACTCCTTGATGTCCTCCCTCCAACGTGGCGTGATAGTGGTGTAAAACGTCCGACTGTAGTGTTTCGGGAACTACCAATCTCATCAATCGGTCGCGATCGTCTCCCGATCTCGGCGTCGGGGGGCAGTAAAAAAGTAGATCCTGCTCGTCCACCTCGTAGTCAGCTGCGATCTTGCCATACGATCTTGCTTCCGCTTGGGTGAGATCTGCGATCGAGCCACTCAGATACTTCTTCATGCCGGCGATCCAGACTTCTTCCTCTTGGGCTTGCTTGATCCGGTCAACTCGGATTTCGCGGATCAGACCCTCATTCATGACACCCACCGGTGATCTTGCCCGACCAGCCCGCGTGGTCACAGCGGCGACTCGAACCACTGGGTTCTCGGTCTTGGGGATCAAGATCTCGTCTAACCGGTTCAGGGTAACCAGATCCTGGTACCCGAGCGTCTCCTGGACCTCGATCCCCCTTTGTCGTTGCAACGCGGCGCTTGCTAGACTGTCGGCACTTCCGTTCCAGTCCCTCTTGACGTGAACCAACTCATGATCATTCCATTTCCTCAGGCGATCGAGGGCTTTCCGCTTCAATAGCGTCAGCCCGGGTGCCTTACAATCGATCTCACCCCGTACTTGTCGGATCACTAGGTTTGAATCCCCGCAGATCACCAGACGTCTGCGATCTAAACCCTCCAGCATGTCGAGCCCCAAGGTCAAGCCGTTATACTCGGTTTCGTTCACGGTGAGGCTCTCGAGATAACCTGATCTGGCCTTGACCA